AAGTTCTACCATTCATTAGTTGCTTTGCTTTTCCTTCCAGGTATTGGCAGAGATTTGGAGTGCTGTCATTTCCCCATTTACCAAATGGAAATAATAAATTCAGTGTTTAGAGTAGTACCTATCACAGTTATTTTTGTTTTATTATTACTACTAATTTTTAATAGTTGCTTGACCACCTTACTAGCAGTCATTTCTACTAGTCTGGCCTCACAGAAAATGCAGGCCTCACACCTTTTCCCTTATCTACAATGACTCTTAGAACTCGAGTGCTCAGGTTTGTATCTACCTTCTGGCCCCAGTATATTTTCTGGTCTCTGTTGACTGACTCTCAGTGGTTAAGATGGCTCTAGCTCCTCTATTTAGCACTAAGCAGCTATTCATGTAATCCATAATAGTAAAGAATGGCTTTTGGGGATTGTGCTCCTAATATTGTGCCTATAAGACAGAAACTCCTTTATTTATGGTTTTGTCCTAGGTTCTGTCTACTGCTCCAGTCTTTTTTCCTGCCACTGGCTCAGACCCTCCTTATGCTCCAGCCACAGTGAAACACTATTTCCTAAACACACCATCTCTCTGGAACCTCCATTCATTTACACATGATGTTCCTTCCATCTACAATGCCCTTCCTTTCTCTACTTGCCTACCTTGAAAACTATTTATCCTTCAAGACTCAAACATCATCAACTCCAGCAAACCTTCTCCGACCCCCATAACCCCAATGTTACCCACATCTTTCCTGCTCATGTTAAAGATTTGCTTACTTGTAAATTTCCCAATTCCTTCTTCTTTGAGTTTATTCAACATCCTTCTAAGCCTCAGTCTCCTAATCTACAAAATGGGTATAACTCTATTGAAAATTTAAATTAGAAGCATGCAGAAGGCTTAGCATGGTCCCTGGTATAGAGTAAGTGACCAACAAATACTAGACATTAGGTAGGGCTTTGTCTGTCTCCCAGCTGAGCTCCAGGGAGTTGATATTTTATATTTTTGTATCCCCAGCCTGTAGCACAAAGTTGGCCATATAAAGGGCTCTCAGGGCATGTATGTTGAATGAGTGAATGAGATGAATGAATGAATGAATGTTGCTTCCGTCATAGGATTGTTGTGAGCTTTGAATGAATTAATACATGTAAAGTGTTCAATAGAGGGCTTAGTACAGAGTAAGTCTTCAATAAATGTTAACTATATTAGTTGGGGATTGTTGGATATGTGGGAGAACAAAAGAAGAAAAAGACATTGAATTAGGAAGGAGAGATGGATGCTGAGGTAACCACTTAGAAAGTATCAGAGAGAATGGATCTTCTCCACTTAATAGATGTGTGACCTTGTGTAAGGCACTTTACTTTTCTATGCCTCTGTTTCTTTGTCTGTAAAAAAAATATGGTGACAGTGCCTACCTCACAAAGTTATTGTGAGGATTAAATGAAATGATACATGAAATACACTTCCCCACTGGGAAGGAGTTGGGGAGAAGGTTAGTGAATAGCTTAAAAGAAATCATGTGTGCCAGCAAGACTGAAAGTTTAAAGAAGTTCCCAAGTGAATAATTTTCACAATTTCATGATAAACAGTGCTACACAATCTTGTGATTTTTCTTTAAAAGGTTAAACATTCTTCTAATGCTAATAAATTGTGATTTTTTACTAAAATATGTTGAAATGACTTTTTGTATTTAAGTGGTTCCAAATGTGTTTGAAAACTTTTTAAACAATGATAATATAAAATTAAAGTTTATTAGTTGACATGAATTCAGCAATAAGATTACTAAGCTTTTCTTAAAGGAGCATTGTATCCAAAACATAAAAACATAAACTCTCTTAATTGTGTTAGGATGAGCAATTGAAGATTCATCCTCCTTACTAGAGTAGAATTTTAAATAAAATAATTGTTTATGTATTTTCTTTAAAAATGGCTTCCTATTTCACTCAGAATAAAACCCAAAGTCTTTACAAGGTCCTATATAATTTGGCCCTCTCTGTCTGACCTCATGAACCACCACTCTCCTGCTCTCCACTCCAGTGACACTGGCCTTCTTGCTATTTCTTGAACACACCAAGCCTTTGCATGTTTTATTTCCTCTGTCTAGAACACTGTTTCCTCAGATATTCTCATGGATAGCTCTCACATTTCATTCAGATATATTCTTAAATATCACCATATTAGAGAACCTTTCCTGGACTGATCTATATCAAATAGTTCTCCCCAATCCCAAGTGCCTCATATCTTTTATTTTACCTTATCCCCACACAACAAATATCTTCATTGTTTATTGTCTTCCCCCTCCATCAACCCAGCCTCATTAGAGTATAATCCCCAAAGCCAGGGGCTTTGTTTTGTTCATTGCTATATATCCCCAGAGGCTTGTGAGTGATGGCATTGAGTAGATTCTCAGTATTTGTCAAATGAATGAATTAATGAATATCATAATACAGTGTACTTGTATGCTGATAACTCTATCAGCTCCCTACCCTTGGAGGCTGAGCAACAGCTAGGAAGGAACTCAGAACAGAGTAAATGTAGGAGCAAGTTGTTCTAGTCTAGGCAAGAAAAGTATAGCCAACAGATTCAGATACTCCAGAAGGAGAATTGAGGGTTGAACTACTGCTAGCAAAATATATAGAGAGAGAACCCAAAGTGTCCTTTTTTCAGTTATCCCTGATGAAACCCCTTTCCCTGTGTAGACAGAAATACTCTGCAATCCCAAAAGGCAGAATGAATGACACCAATTTAAATTGCTCTGGGAAAGACACTCAAAGCCCTCAGATAAGGATTTCTATTGCTTGTCTATATGACTTGTTAGTGTATTCACAAGGCTTTCATTGTCCTAGGAATATAATAATCATATTTCAGCAATGGTATTTTATGACAGGTAAGAACTGCCTAGTTCTCATATTCTGTAACTAGAAACTCTCCCAAAGAAAAGCAAGCCAACACAAACAGAAGGGGACAATCAATTGTTAAAATGGAAGCACAACAGTTCCTAACATATTCAATGCATACCAATGCAGGATGCTGGCTATGGAACCAGCAGTAGTTCCTTCCCCACCCTCCATGCAAGAGTATGTATTGCAGAAGTCAGCAGGTGTGACATGTACAAGTGGCTCTTGGCTCTGGGACAACACTATATTCTCATTCATGAAAGTAACCAGGAGCGTTCAGTTGCAGTCACCTTTCCTTTGTTTTTAAGAACCCACAGGCGAGGGACTTCAGGGGAAACGAACCCTAAGTAAGGCCTTCTTCTTTATCTGAATCAAGTGGACTCAGTAATATGGCCTTTCAGAATAAGGTCATTTTGAGGTTCTGAAAGCCAACTGAGAAGAGAGAGGAGGAGCAGGAAGGTGCTTTAGCTAAATATTGCATAGGAACCTACAACTGACACAAGCCCTTGATGGGAGTTGCCACTGGAGATGCAATGAAATCCAGCACATTAAAGACATGTGCCTTGCATTTAGTACAAGAGACAGCTGAACTGGTAAATTGCAGAGCCCTGGGAGTTGTTGCATTCTATTCACCAAATGGAAACTTTCAGAATGAAACACTAGCCCCAGGACCTCAAATAACATGTTTTCAACGTTTTGACCTGTTGGGATATCATTAGGCTCCACCATCCAGTCCTTCTACCTTCTTTAAGCAGAAACATGAGAGAAATGAGCACAGAAGAGATGTTACTAGTCTGCATGAGGCCTTTAACAAATCTCCACCATACAAGCTGCTTTACTTAACAGCAGAAGGGAATTGGTAAAGCCCTCCTCCCCAACACAATCTTCCTAAATAGACACAGACATGGGAATAACACATCACTCAAAGTGGCCTTAGCTACCCTATTAAAGCATCCTGCCCCTCTCTCTTTGCATGCCATTTTGACTTGAATTCCTGTCTCTTCCAGCTGGATCTCCCAGTTACTTGGTCTTGGGCATATGGATTCCTGCACTAAAGGAAAGGTAATAAATGCAAACCACTGGACCCTTCACGTGACAGATGTTTGGTAAATACTGGAATAAAATTCAACATTTCATCTTCACATACTAGGAAGAAACCTTGGGCACCAATTTTTTAAGAAAGTAGTCAGTGACACTACTCAACATGATCTTGACATATTACAGACACCATTCAGCAGCGAGATCAGCCACAGGTAATGAATCTGGCATTCAGTAAATATTTGTAGAATGAATGATTTTTTTTCAAGTCATCTGCACAGCCATGGCACCTCTCAGGAAACAGGAATTTTCCCCCTGATCTAAAACTGCAGAGCCAATTGACTCTGCAGTTACTAATGTGTAATTTGACAACAATGCCCAGTGTGAACCTCCTGAGAGTCAACGGGATATTAGAACCAAATTTGGAGGTTGGTAAAAAGGAGAAAAAGCTGTTCTCTCCACACAAATTGCCCCCACACACGTAGTGTCATAGTAAGGCGGGTCACTTGCCAGCCTTCCCCAAACAATTTCCAGTACAGATTTCCCTCAGTTGAACTCGTGCACTGTCCCTTTAAGAAGCCAGGCAAGATGGAGCCTCCCAGCTCACAGCTAGAGGCTTTAAGCAACCTGATAGGGATGCTGGAGTGTGACAAAAGAAAGAATGTCAGGAAACGGTAAGCTGCGGCTCTAATGAGAAGAGGGGGAATCAAGGCTGAAACCTTCCAAGCCTCAAACTCTAAGCACCCCATCCGGTGGGTGGCAGCTTCCCCAGGCTCTAAAGCGCCCTCTCCCCTCCCTTTTTTACCCCAACCCACCCTGTTCCATCCTCCATATCCTCCTTGAAGGAGTCTCCTTTTGTAAGGTGGCTCCTTCGCAGAGCCAGTGGAGAACCCAGTAATGGTGGCGAAAGGAAGCGGAGAGGGTCGGTAGGCAAAATGAAAGGAACTTACTTTCGGATTCGCCTGCGAAGGCATCCTCTCCTCCCAGCCCTGGGCCAGGGACGACGGGGCGGGGCCGGGGTTGATCTGGTGAACCCGGGTTCCTCAATCCCTCGGACTACAAAACTAGTTCAGTGAAGAGTTCGCGGGGAATAAGCACCAACTAGGGCCGGTGTATACTCAATTATAATTATCTCAAAAGGAGACAAGAGGGTCTGAGAGAGCTGACCTGGAGTAGAAGAGGAGGTAAGCTTTAAACCCTCTTTTTCCTCCCTTACTACTACCTTTCCCCACCAGGCGTTAGGGAAATCAGAGAAGGTTTTCTTTTCTCTTCCTTTTGGTTTCTCCCAGCTGCCTGTCCCAGACCCCACCCAACGGCTCCACCCTGTCTATTGCTACATATACTGTCATTCAGCAGTGCATTTAAAGCTGCACCGCACAACTTGGGTTTTCGTCCCTCTTTGGCGGGCTGAGAAAATCGCGGGGTGCCTGGCCTTTCCAACAATGCCTCCTACCTTTCTACAGAGTTTAGGAAGCTGAGGTTAGTTGCTAGTGGCAGCCTCCTCTCCCCCTCTGCCCCAAGCTCTCACAGTCAGCTCCACCCAAACTCCTGCCAGCGGCTGGACCATGTTATCCCCTAGTCCACCTCTTCTTTACTTTATTTCTGGTAAAAAGTGGTTCCTTAGGCTGCCAGATAGCCCCGCAAGGTTCCTGTGTTGCTCTCTTTGGCCCCACTCACTCCTGTACAGTGTCTGATCTAAAGTGGCTACAGCAGGTTTCCTGTCCCTGGGGGCTTATCCATTTTGCCTGGCCTGGTATGCTCAGTTTTCTCTAGCTCTCATCTGTGTAAGTCTCCAGGCTTCTCACTAGAATGGAAAATAGAAAGCCAGGATTTCCAGAAATGTGCTTCCTGCCTCTAACTCATCCAAACAATAGTCCCACACCACTGCCCCACTCCATAACTAGTCAGCTCAAAGTCAGAGAAGATCCCTGATACTCCATCCACAAGTATTAGTGAAACTCCAGAATAATCTACCAGAAATCATATTTGATGACATTCTCCATTCCACTTAACAGCAACACCTTGCTGATCAGGCCAAAAATCCTGGAATTATGCTTGACTTCCCTTTTTTCTGATGCTACACATCCAGTTCTTCAAGAAACTGTGTTGGGTCTTTCTTTAAAAATATGTCCAGAATCTATGTGTCACCATTTCCACTACCACCCCTGGCCTCAGCCACCACCATATCTAGATCCAGCCCCTGCCTACCTCTTTGACTTGATTTATTAAAGCCTGCTCATTGTCCTCTAGCCACACTGATCTCCTTTTTATTCCAACATACTAATATTTGTCTTACATCAGGGACTTTGCACTTCTTTTTTTTCCTATCTGGTTCCACCCATGGTGGGCTCCAATATCCTTCAAATCTTGGGGAAGTTTTCCCTAACTACCCAGATTCATGTAGCTCCCACTGTCCAGGCACTCTGTGTGACATTATCCCATTGTATTTTTATCACAGCACTGATCACAATTTAAAAGTCTTATATGTGTGTTTGCATCTGTGGTAAGGTATTTCTCTCCCTAGAGTATAAGCTCAGTAAGAGCAGGAACTTCATCTATTTCGTTCTCTGTTCTGTCCTCAGCATACTGAACAGTGGCTGTCATATACTAGGGGCTCAATTAATACTTGTTGAAAGAACAATTGAAGGCAATGTCTTCTGAGATCTAGCTGTTATCTGTTTTTAAACAACAAACAAACCAAAAAAAGATGCACCTGTTATAAACCAACTGCACCAATCTATTCCCCCTTAGACGTCTATCCAGATACCTTGCTTCTGAGATGAGTTGTAATGGTGGCTGGAGTAGTCACTTAGTGGTAGTATAATTTTAGGTTAGCATTTAGGGTTTGTAGTTCATTGCTGGTGGTTGACTTAGGTGTTATTGGTTTTATCAAATCAGTACTAGGGCGCATAGTTCTTAAGGGCCTAGTTCATCTGAATTAATAGAACCTTTGTGATGTGTTTCTTAGTTTGGAGTCAGAATTATCTATATATGTTCTCTCATGCCCCCAAGGATGTATTCCCATAACCTCTGTATGAAGTTAATATTATTATCCTCATTTTACAGGTAAGAAAAAAAAAACCAGGAGAGATAGAGTGACTTGCCAAAAATCACACCCCTGGGAAATGGTGAAGCTGGGTTTTGGACCCAGGTAGTATAGCTCCAGATATATACACATTCCCACTACCCTGTCATTCTAAATTAACTTTATAGTCATCATGATATTGGGAAGGGCAGAAAACCTGTTTTGCTGTATGTTAATTGGTTAAAGATTAAAGGAAACAGCTGAAAGTATGGATATTTGTTACATAAGGCAAGAAGCATAGTTTGAGCAATTGTGTAAGCTATGGTCTTGATACAAGGTCATATGAAGCAGCTACTACCCTTTTCCAGTAGAAGGAGCTAGCGCTATTTAAGCTTCAAGAAGAGGAAACTCAGGAGGATAAGAATTCTGTCTATTAGGCTCATCTTAGCTGTCATTGGCATGTCCTTGATTGCTTATCCATTCTGTGTCTTAACTTCAGCTCATAAAAGCTATTCAGCTCAATTGAATTCTCTGGATTTCTGACTACAGATGACAAATACCTCTTGCTAGATTGCTGCCTAAAGCTGAGCATGAGACCATGGGGAGGTTTGAAAGATACCATGGTTATGTTTTCAGTACAGTTCTAAGCACTGTGTAACATAGGAAAAGAAGGAACCCACAAGGTTAAAAGTCAGAAGTTTCCTGTATACCCAGAACTACCACTTACTTGCTGTGTGACTACATGTGAGACTGAATACAAGAGCCTCATATTCCTCATCATACAATGAGGAGGTTGAATTAATGGTTACCAAGGGCTCCTTCTATCTCAGAAGTTCTGTCAGTTCTCTTTGGTTAGCTAACTGATGTCAGAGAGTTCTTATGACTGGAAAAGGCTTGTAATATCAATATTCTGGGGTAAGTGAATGCATTCCCTTAATCTCATGCCTCTTTATAATAGATGGTAACAGGTACATGGGATGGACTGGATGTCCAATTAATACGTTTACCCTTTTTAGAACTGGTTTGAAACCATAGATTGTCCTATAATGGCCCCATGTCTGATGTCTGTGATGTGTGAACCTTCCCTATTGCCATAGTAATTTATCCCAGGGGAAGATCCCTGACCCAACTGGAACAACCAGTTTCCCTTTCCCAGCAACATGACATTTTGAAGTGAAACAGAGACAGGGGTTATGGGCAGGGGAGGAGTGGGGGGAATCACATTAAAGCTGGAGAGAAGATTCATAAATTCATACTGCTCTTGGACCCAGAAATGACCTGGTTCCTGCCCTTTCTGAGTCAACTCCTCCCTTAACTCTGTGAGCTATTCTATTATTCTTACAGTAAGTTCCCTATTCCCATAACTTGTATTTTTACTAATATTACTTATGCTAGCCAGAGTCTACATCCTATTTACTGTCATATAATCACTATGTGCTTCTGATTATATAACAGTAAATAGGAAGATGAACAAGCTCTCCCTCACCAAGTCATTGGTCCAGACCTGACCTCAGTTTTCTGTGCCTCTATTATTTCAATGTTGTCTTAGAATATAGCTGTATAGATGCTGTCTCTAGTCTATATCTATCTATCTACCATCTATCTATCTATCTATCTATCTATCTATCTATCTATCTATCTATCATCTATCTATTAACCATCTGCATAGATACTGTCTTACTAAACTGTACAAACTCCTTAGGAGTATGGTCTGTGCCTTTTTCATCTTTTAATCTTCTGCAGTGCCTAACACACAGCTTTGCACATAACAGACACTCCAGGCATGTTGAATTCAGCTCTATATTACACATGGGACCTGAGTCATGTAGCAAACCACAAAACCTCCCAGATAAGAAAAGCAGCTGTGGTATAGTGGAAAGAATGGATTTGGAATGAGAACACTTCCAGTTCCAAGTTTGTCATTCCCTAGCTGTTTTACTTGAGGCATGCTGCCTAACCCCTCTGAGTTTTATCTTCTTCACAGAAAAACACAAGAGACAATAATACTTTTCTCTAGATCTTCTTTGCATGCCCTAATATGACTAAGGAAGTAGAGATTAACCACCTTCATGCTGCTAAATCAAATGACCACTTTTCAGTCCTCAATTCACTTTACCTTACAGCAACTTTCAGCATAATTGACCACTGCTGCTTTCTTGAAGAAGTTTTTTTTTCCTCTTGGCTTCTATTTAAAACTACTTTCATGCTTTCAGTCTCACTTCACTGACTGCTGCTCGTTGGTCTCCTTTTCTCCTCCTCTAAGTCTAAATATTAGAGTACATCAAGTTTTCTCCTTAAACCTATTTTCTTTTCTTTCTATATTCTCTCCCTAAGTGATCTCATTCAGTTCTATGGCTCTGACAATAAACTGATGAATACCTAAGTCTATGTCTCAAAACCAAACCTCTGGGAACACTACACCCATATATAGATCCCTTCTGAGCCTGTTTTCTCATCTGTAAAATGGTGACTATAACAACACCTACCTCAGGATTTGATTCTTGCTGTCTCTTCTTCCCAATCTATTCTTTAGGAATAGTCAGATTAATCTTTTAAAGTGGCCAACCACACCATGTTATTCTCCTGCCTAATGACTTCCATTGCACTTAGGATAAAAACCCACATCCTCACCATTATAAACAGGGCCCTGTGTAGTCTAGCCTTTTGTCACTGCCCCAAAATCATCTTCAACTACTCTTTCCCTATGTCTCAGTACTCCTGAATGATTGTCATTCCTTTCTATAGTTCCTTAGGATTGTAATACTTTTCCCCATTTAGGGTCTTAACACATGCTGTTCTTCCACATTAAGTACTCTGCTACTCACCCTTCACCTGGCTTGATTCTATTAATTATTCAAGTGAAAATTAACTATAGCTTCATGCAACACAATGGACAATTAATAGCATAATGTTGAATGAAAAAAGCAAGTCCCAGGATAAAGTACATGGTTTAATACCAATTTTAAGATTTCAAAAATATGTAGAACTATGCAATATATTATATTTTATATATATGTATATATATGATAGAATTATCTTTAAAGTCAATGTTCAGGTTACTTCTGGGAGGGGGAAGGAGAAGGGGATAGAAGTGATACCCATAGGCAGATATGAGATATTGGCAATATACTAACTTTTGGACTGAGTGGTAGGTTCACA